ACAATCTCTTCTCTTTCCTGCATATAACTTCTCTACTGCTATTACAAATATCCAAGTTCGAGCGAGATGCTAATTCCAAGTGCAAGCTATATTTTGTCACTCGCTATCCTCTACCTTCCAGCCACAGCTGGGTATCCGCACCAAGATGTTGCTTCTTTTCCCCCAGTAAACCTGGGATATGCCACCCATGTTCCAACATACATCAATGTGACCTCCAACGGCCTCAAGTATGCAAACTACAACAACATCCGGTTTGCTCAGCCTCCCGTCGGAGCCTTGAGATTCAGGCGCCCGAAAACTCCTCCACCAAGAGAGCATGGGGTCAAGAACGGTTCTGCTCCCATGTATGCAACAGACTGTGTAAGCGCTATTCCCAACATATTTCCGCCACAGGGCCTCCCATCAAGATCGTGGGGACAGGAGGACTGCTTGTTCCTCAACGTTAGGGTTCCTGAAGGGGTTAAGGAGAGTGATAATGTTCCAGTGGTTCACTGGATACACGGCAGTGGATATGCCTACGGAAGCAAGGACCTCCACAGAATCAGTGGAGATGGAAGCGGTCTCTTCGAGGACATGGACCACGGAACCCAGAAGTTCATTTACGTTGCAAGTAACTACAGGTATGTTGGCTATATCTTTTCAATAACTATATTTTCTAAACCACTTTCCTAGAATGGGGCTATACGGTTGGAGTTCCTCTCCTTCTGAAGATACAGAAGCCAATGTCGGGCTGCATGACACCCTAGCAGCACTGCAATGGACCCGTAAATACATATCAAAGTTCGGTGGTGATCCGCGAAGAATCACGGCATTCGGAGAGAGTGCCGGTGCTGGGATGCTGGATCTTTTACTTATTGCCAAAGACGGTAAAGAGGATCTTCCCTTCGATAAGGTACTTTTCGGTGGAAATATATAGATATATGATCATTCAGCTAAATCAAGGCACAGGCATTCATCGCATTCCCGGCTATCTGGCCGCGCAAAGATCCAAGTCGCCGGCAGGCGGTTTTCGACTCTGTTCTCAAGGCATCGAACTGTGATTCTGCTGACTGCCTGAGGAAGCTGTCCGAGGGGGACCTGTTTAAAGCAAACGAATACCTCCTCGTCAATGTAACAGACGGCAAGACTGGTGCCTTAGGCCCAGATCCTGGATTTACACCCGTCGTGGACGGTGAATATATTACTGATCTTGTGTTGACCGTCTTAGAAAGAGGAGGCTATAACAGGAGGGTTTCACGAATTGCGGCTAGCAATATGGCTCTTGAAGGTCTAGGGCAGGCACCGCCGGACCATATGCCAGAGATATTCCCTTATCTAGTTCGTGGAACAATTCCTCATGCCTCTGACGAGACGATCCAGAAGATACAGTCACTCTATACGTACCCTGCGGATCTCCCTGCTAAACTTGGCTGGGATTGGGTGACTGATATAACATACGCCTGCAACGCATATTATACCGCAAAAGCATATGCACCCAAGGCCCAGAGATATGTTATGTCTGTTCCACCAGCAATTCATGCGCTAGACCAAAGTTGTGAGTATTACTTGCATCCAAATACGCCGAAGCCAGAAACTAATCCAATATTCATTAGATTATTTTTACCAAGATAATACCACAACTCCGGTCACTGATGTTGACCTCGCAAGGGAATTCCAAGAACATGTGCGGCGATATATTACCGGCGGAAAGAATTTTAAAAAATTTCCTAGCCTTATAGACTTCCCGACATATGGGAATGGTGAATCTATCTTCAACGTTACTCTTGGCGGATGGAAAAAGGAAAAAGATCCATGGGAAATCAATCGTCGGTGCCAGATTTTGCATGATATATTTGCTGACCCAAAGAATGGGGCTTGATGGCCTGAATCAACTATTGTTGCTTGAGCTGGGATATGTATGTATGCTCTTTTCGTTCAATCTAACAACATCTCCTTCTTAGTTTCATTTCAAAAGAAAATTTCTAAATGCTTACTACGCAGTCACTGCCGGATAAGTAGCAGATATCAAGATACATGAAATATTTAATTAGGGCTAAAGTCTCAAGAATATCGCTCCCACTAGTCCAGAGTACATTTCCATGAAAAATAAATAGATTCGCCGCTAGTAGAGTTTGGAAATGACATATTAAGCAATCGCCCAGGGGAGGAAGTGCCCGGGAAAATAGGAAATAATCATAAGACAGAACATAGTGATTGCGATATCAAAAGCTCAATCAAAGAAACACACATGTATATATGGGGGTATATAGAAAACTGAAAAAGGCTCTCTGCCGAAACACGACAGGGTGGAATATGCCAGGGTGAGACTATTTTAGGTGTAGGATATAAAGTGTTGGCGGTAGATAGAACGGTCATCTCGTTTACATTCTATGCTTTGCCCTTTGCCGCCGCTTGGGGTGGTGGTGGGAAGTACATCTGTGCTTCAGGTTGTTCCGGCTGCTTAAACATTCCATGGGTCTCTTCCTCATGTGGCATCGTTGAATAGCTATTGGACCGGTCGCGCAGGGGCAGGTCTGAGTTCCCCTCGAGTTTATTAAAAGCGGTGGTTCGTGGTGTTGTGAGCGGGAATGTCATCTTCCCATCTGGATTGAGTGGTGATTTCATCGATTTGAGTTCTGCCAGTGTCGATTTTCGTTCTTCCTTTATTCTCTTCTTTTCGCGGTCTTCTTCAGTTGGGAAGCAAGAAACTGCAGCCAGGATAAGTTGGCAGGTGAAAATGAATCTACATAGAATGAGATCACGTTAGTTAATCGGGTAAAATGCGAGATATAGGTGAGAGGATAACAAACATCATGACAATCATGAGGGCAAATGTCGCTTTAGCTTGTTTACAGTAGTTGACGTTTGTATGAAGCGATGCCACATTGCAGTTCTTCGTAATGTACCATGGGGGCCCGTTTTGCGGATGTTTGGGGTCGGTCGTGTCGCTCGCAGCTTGGAAGGCGGCACCTATTGAATAGAGCAAGACACTAATACCGTGAACTAGTATCGAAAGCGGCGGGTAGAATACGTGCATCACAAACATGGGCGTTTTCGTGAGCAAGAAGAACAAACTGAGGACAGTGATGACGAGGTTAAAATTGGTAGTACTATTCAGCAATAACGGAAAAATGTTAGTAGACAAAAATTATCCGGAGATGTTGTCCATGTGTACGTACAAGGGGCTCCATGGCCTGGGGATGGTGTATGGTCTGTAGTTGGCAAAAGCGTATACTTTTTCGTCTGGAGAGCTGTTGAAGCCGTTATCTGCTCCATCTTGCCAGAGCTTTGTTCTATACAGGTCAGGGGCCGCAATACCAGTAAGCGTTAAAAGCCCGATGGACAAAGGAAGTTCGCAGGCCACAAGTATTTTGAACGCTAAAGGGGACCAGTAATTTCGAGGCAAGAAACACCCAATTCCACCCATTGTTGCGATGATGCCCAGGCAGAGTGCGCAATGCTTGCAGACGATTATCAGTCACAGGGAAAGTGCTGTCAACAACAGAATATGATTGCGCAACAGCTCTTAAACAGCTTGTTTCTTCCTCAAAGCTGCATCTCTCTGAATGGCCCTGACAAGCGGCGGAAAGCAGAGAATCCGTTAGCCCAAAAGAGGGGGCTAGCCTGGTGGTATCGACGACGAGAAAAGGAGTTGAAGGCTAATTCTCTCGACTTTATGTGGTGTGGGAGACTTCTCGAGTCTGCGATGCGACAGCTGAAGCGAGACGATGAGGTTGAAAGGAAGAAGATGAGCGGAGGCCGACTTGAGGTCGCGAGATCCCTTTGATGTAAGCGCCCATTTTTCCCAGGCCTGTCCTTCGCGCTTTGGTTGGCTCATGCAGCGGAAGTTGCAAATCCTTGACATGCAGTCTTATTGATGTGATGGCTGCACCCGGCTCCCACCAATGATGATGCTCGAACCGGGGTTTCCTGCACCCTCATCACACGCTAGCAAAGCGATGTGATTGAAACCTTGCATCTGGGGCCGAACGAGGGCTATTTCCCCACCTCGAAGCACCGCCCGGCGCTAAGATGAGGCCCAGAGCTGGCACATCAACCCATTAATATTCTATTAAATGTTGGTTTCTGGCATCTTCCCCCGGCTGTCTCTTGATGTCCGCGTCGTTTGTTGTCGAAAGTAACTTAGAAGTATATACTTTGGTCTAAAGATAGCTAAATGGGTATTAAAGTTAATCCACTCCAATAAGGTTTTCTTATATAATCAGAACTTCGGGCCGGATTGGGGCGAAACCTTAAAGCTACCTGAGTGCGCTAGGTAACCTCGACTCTACCTAAAGCACATGCATATGATGGGAGTATATGCACTGTCGTGCTTATTCTTGCCCCTGAGAGACATGATATCCTTGCGAAGTTGCTCCTCAAGGTATTCTGCTGCTCGTTATTGTACCTATAGAAGCTATACCACCATGTCAGCTCAAGGCAGTAAACCACACGAGCTTCGGACAGCAACAGAACCTCGACAGAACTCCCTCTATAAGCTGAGGGTGTCCTATATATCCCAGGTCAACCCAACCATACGACTTATCCGATTTAATAATTTTTGTGGCTGTGCCTCACTTGATTGGTCTAAAGATAATTCAGAGGATGTATGCGGCCCTACCACGAAATTTACCGAAATACATGCCTTTAAGAGTTTCTGTCAACGTTTCCCATCTGCCGTGGATATGAGAAATACGTATACCTAGGAGCTCGGACAACCGTACTGACCTTTGATACATTATATCTAGTTGACGTATAACCAGCAGCCGCCTTTGGAATTTTTACCCGGCCAGTGGCTTGACGTTCATATACCAAACATTAAACATGCTGGGGGTTTTACAATAACTTCCACCCACCAGGATGCTTCTACTCAAGGAGACATTGATGGAAATGATAACCATCTGCCATATGTTGAACTAGCTGTCCAATATTCACCTAGTAACCCAGCTGCTAAGTGGTTTTGGCAGCCTATAGAGCAAATATTAGGTGCTTATGTCAAAGTTAGGATTGGCGGCGGGTTTGTATGGCCGCCACCAAATGGTATGGCATTAGATGAGATCAAGAACATCGTGTTTGTGGCTGGTGGCGTTGGTATCAAGTACGACCCCTTTACTATCTCCTCCCGTCGATTCAAAGAGAGTCCCGTTAGGTCACTGTCATATATAAATAGTCTTGTCGCAGAGCTTTGACTAACTTACTGTATTAGCCCACTCATATCAATGATTTCCTATATTCACCGGACGAGATCTTGCCTACTACCATCTACAAGGCTTCACCTACTATATTCGACTAGGATCCCTTCGCCGTCCACGCCTATTAACATGGCAAGGCCGGGTGAAGCCGTGAAAATTTTGGCCACCGATAGGCCATCTAAAATTTTATTTCTAGACCGTCTTCTGCAAATCAGTCGCGACTGGAACCGAGCAAAAGATAACGCTGATCCCATCGACTTGCAACTGTTCCTCGCAAATTCATACCTAGAAAATAGAGGAGGTAATAAGGTTGATTTTCACTCCAGTATACTGGATACAGACAAGCATATAACGGTTCATTCCCGACGAATTGAAGCAAGCGATCTACACAAAGCTGTGGGTGAAAGTGACGAGCTAAGGAGTGGTACGATATGCTACGTTTGTGGTCCGCCGGTAATGACTGATGAGTTCGTTAAGGAATTGGAGACATTCATTGGCAGCGAAGACGACAAAACAAGGGGAAGAGTGTTATATGAAAAGTGGTGGTAATAACTAAGCTCAAGGTATGAATCCAACACACCATTATAAATATTAGAACAAGTCAATTCACAATTGCGCCATACGAGCACAGTATCAACATGGCTACCTTGATTAAACACGTCTAACGAGCATAAAGCAGTAATATTAACTTCTAAACAATTAACATCATCATTGGCGTGATCCCATATCCCCAAGGCACCGAGCAGTAATCCCAACCAACAAACAATGATATAACAAGTCCCTCGCGCCCACGAAAACTCGAAAGGGAATTTATATATAATAACACATAAAAAACGCAGAATATATGTATCAGAAGCCGAAAGTGTTGCTGGTAAATGAAAATTTTAAACGACGAGAGGTCTGATAGAGGAAGGAGGAAAGCTAAGGAGGGAAGATATCATACCAACCACGAACAAAATTTACCTAGGACGACCAGGTTGGGATTGGGGGTTAGTTGGTTGGTCCTACCGCTCTGCCAGCATCGACTAGCATAGCTTCATCGATTCGTTCTTTGGTATTCCCCCATTCAAGACGTTTGTATGACATGATCCTGGCTTCATTCATATCAATATCGAAGAACCTGATGCGACGGATATAATCATTGTATCCGCCATATCCTCCAAAACCAGCACCACCACCGTAGCACATCCATAATGCTGATTTTCCATTTTTATCCTTCTCAAGCATACAATAGTCATTTACATGGTCACTAAAATGAGGAGTTAGTGTAAGTTTCCAAGAACGATGTCCTCAAACTACGCTGTTAAAAGGGTCAGACTTTGCTTACTGTCCACAGCTGACAAGTAACACATTCTCCTCAATCAATGCGTCTTTAAAGCCAGAATTATAAGTAGGCGCTGTGGGCGGCTCAGTCCAGTTCCCAGTAAAGAAATTGGCAGTGTTACGATATTCCGGTAATGGTATATGAATGAATGCCAAGTTCATGTGGATGTGCGTGTATTTTTTATGCGCAGTTCGAAGTCCCTCGGCTGTTGACTTAAACCACTTTATCTGGCTTGGCTTCAGCCAATCGTATCCCGGGTACTTTCTCTCATCCGGGGTATATTTATGGGTATCCAAGAGATAAAGTGTCAAGGCTGATGCAGAAGATGACCCTTTTCCGAGGACTTCCACGACATAGTTGCCAACACCGTCTATTTCTTCGGGTCCCGGTTTGGAAAGGCTGTAAGGTAGACGTTGCATAAGGTCCATCTGTGTGCGGCGATCCAGGTTTCCTTCATCGTCATGGTTCCCAAAAATAGCAGCATAAGGGATTTTATGTTTGATGAATAGATCAGCAAATTTGTAAATTGCTGTTTCTGTATCTGGCGCGGTGTCACCATTTACCTGATCACCACTCAGAATTATCAGGTCTGGCTTTTCTTCATCCAGTAGCCTGTCAATAAATTCCAAAGTCCGGGGATCCGCCTCGCATTTATCCTCATCAGTCTTGGGAATAGGATCCCGACAATGTCCAAGCCCTGTAGCAAGATGTAAATCTGCTGCTTGCATAATTTTGAACTTTCCATCCTTCCGAATTCGTGGAACTGGTGGTTCAATCTTTCTGGCATGTCCTCGTCGTACAGTCAGCCTTGCTTCACTCTTAGAATCTAGCATGAGAGGGATGTCTTTTAATTCCCAATCAGGCCGAGGGTCGACAGCATCGGGGCCAAACAGAACATCGACCGATGTTATCGATTTTTGCGAGTCGGTCGAATGTGGTAGTCTGAGTATCCAAATGCCTCCAGGTCGTGATTCCCATTTTTTATCAGTTCCGGCACCAGGGTCCAGTCGGCCCATTTTCACATCAACGACAATTTTATCTGTGGGTAGAATCTCATCCCCTTTCTTCCGCTGTATATGCAGATATGCCTTCGAAGTCCACCCTTGACCAAGGTACAGGTCTTTTTCTATGCGATGCCATACTTTAGGATCGAGTGTGCAGCTTGAAAAGACATTCAAAGCAGAGCAGGTTGTGACTGTCAGTTCAGTAACAACAAGGCCCGGGTGGTGGGACGGCAAATGGTCATGTATTGAAGCTGGAAGGACCCGTATCTGGCTATCGAGAATGACGACGAAGACAACAACGGTGACTGTTAATATGCCGAGCTGGATTATCGTTCTGATCTAGAATACACTCTTAGTTAACTGAACTAGAAGCTGGCAAGCCTTCAAGCCAAGGGAGGTAAGTATTTACGATTCGGCGGTTCATCTTTCCTGCAGCACCCTTTCTGTATCTTGAAGCGGTTCTAGGGGGCGATCAAAAAAATATCTAGCTCGTCAGCGCTTCATGAAGGGTTTGTGTAAGCAGAGCAAATGCGAAGATCGTGTTCATTATGCGAATCCCAGTAGGGGAAAAAGCAAAGTATCAGAAACTCATCCACCGGTAGATTGTATAGTTGACTGAATATTCTCGTCACCAGGTTTCTTCCGAACAGCTATCAAAGGGGAAATTGATCACGGTGACGGCACTTCGGAGCGGCGCTATTATTAGCCGGGTAACTTTAATTCCGGTCCAGTCCAGACTACCTAAACCTACCTGACTACCTAAATTCTTGAGCTTCGTGAGCTTCGGAAAAGCATCTCATCGAAATCTCCACCCCGAAAAGATACGATATAAGACAATACATATATAGAATTGATGGCATCTGTTACACTTTTTTCTCGTCGGCTCTTTACAACTTCGAGATCTCCTCTGTTAAGTCATGCGCGGCCAATTGACACTAACTTTGGGATATTTCAAGGTACTCAATTTTATGTCCTGGGCGATGTGTACTTGCTATATGCTAACTGTGGTCTTAAAGAGGGTGATAGGGTAATATTAAACACGACGAAGGGTGTGACCCTGACGAAACCGCTTAAGAAAGACCAAAAAATCGACGTACGCGGCGGGTATATTGAGCATAACCATATCATTGGTAAAAGCGCCAGAGACGTAGTACGGACACATAATGGTATCGATTCAAGCAATTGTTTGTCAGTAGAATGTTGTCTGGCTTGGACTGCTAACAACTGTCGATCTCTATAGGTCGTGGTGATTTCCGGATAACTCAACCAACCCTCGATGAATATGTGTCCCTAACCCGACGACTTGTCACTCCGGTAAAGCTCCCTCCGAAAGAGAGTTGTCATTTACCTCTATGTGGAGATATACGTATAACTGACGAACGCCGCTAGTAGGTGTATGCGGCGGATGCGAGCTTAATAGTGTCGCTCCTAGACATCCACACACCACCTCCATCCGGAGACGAACAACATGGTGAACCTCTAGAGATTCTAGAAGCTGGGACAGGTCATGGTTCTCTGACGCTGCATCTTGCAAGGGCTATAAATGGAGCAAATACTTGCCCACCTCCCATCCCACAAGCTACACAACGGACAATTTTGGACCCACAGAGCCAAGCTCAGGACACAGCCGAAGTAACAGAGGAGGAGAATATCAAACAGAAAAACTGGGATGCATGGAAGGCTAAGCGCAATGCAATTCTTCACACAATCGAAATTTCACCCAAGGTGTCAGCTCATGCCGAGAAAGTGGTCCGCGGTTTTAGAAGAGGCATTTACACAGGGAGTGTAGATTTTTACGTTTCAAGCGCAGAGGGTTGGATTCAGCACCAGATTGAAAGCCGAAGCTCGAATCTTCCCCCTGGAGAAAAGTTAAAGCCATTCCTGTCATATGCACTACTAGACATGCCATCAGCAGAAAAGCGCATTCCTGAAGTTGCGCGTGTTCTTAAGACTGATGGAGTACTGGCAGTTTTTACACCAAGCATCACCCAGATTGGGGATTGCGTTCAACTAATCAAAGACCAGCATCTGCCTCTTGTCTTAACAAAGTCAGTGGAACTTGGAATGGGAATTAGTGGCGGGAGACTATGGGATGTTCGGCCCGCAGTTATAAGGGCAAGCGTGAAAAATCGGGAGGATGCAGAAGAGCCGGCTAATGAGGCGCTAGACAACCTAGTTGATACTTCAGCTACTAACAACCAAACGCACTACGCAAAAGAAGATAGTGGCATCCAGTCATCACAAGAGAATGGGCTTGGAGGAGAGAACCAGCCCGTCAAACATGTGATGGTTTGCCGGCCCAAAGTCGGAGAGAGAATTGTGGGTGGCGGCTTTGTTGGAATATGGAGAATGGGAAAGGTTTGATTACCTTTTTACATATTATATTGTACGTTCATGCTATGTATTACTAGTATTGCTTTGTCTATAGAATGCTGATCAGCCGATTTAGATGTCACCATGAAAAGAATCGTGCGTCCGTGGGTGCAACACCCCAGTGTAGACCCAAGACCGAAGGCCTCGTAAAATGGAAACCCTACTGCAGGACACCCCTGACATTCAGCCCCAGCCTCGCTCGTTTTGCTCAGAGTATAGGAAGCCGCTTGGTATATAGCGGGGACACCAGGCCATCTTTGAACTCGTCTTTTTAGAGAGAGGCATATTTATTATAATCTTATTTCCCGGCTAATGATCATAACTATCTAACTCGCTAGCTAACTAGTTGGCAGCGCATCTAGCATGTTTCCATGGGCTGGCAAAGCCAAAGATGGCAAAAGACCGAACTGGTTTGAACGGCTCAGGGGCAGCTCACAATCCAAACTGCAGCACCAGCAAGAGCAGCCCGCGCCCCTCAAATCACGACCAGACATTTCTGATATTACAGGCATAAGTCTAGAGGAAATATGCAAAGTGTGCTACAACCTCGACCCAAGCCAGGCTCCAAGAAGTGGACCGCCAATCAAAAATGGCCCTTCGTTGTTTTCGTGGGCTGCTCGGGAGTACAATTTACCTGCAGAATCGTCAGTTGCTAAAGTAACTATAGATAAGTCGCATATTTTACTCGACTCTGCCTGGGGCTGCTTTTTCTGCGCCATAATTTCTACGGCCCTCTCGATGGCGCAGCCTGGATGGGAGGCCGAAGACACAGTCATTCGCATCAATCTAGCGCCAAACGTGCCTGTGACTGTGCAATTGCAGTATGGCCATTATGGCACTTCCAGTGGTGATACCATGGGATTTGAGGTCCCTATGCACTTCGAATATATTATCCAGCCTGGGACGCCAAAGCCAACAACAGAGATAGAAATATACCGACCTCGTCTGTGTGGTAGTAGTGGTAAAGCTCCTGACAGAGGTATGTGGCTCTCACTCTGAGGACCGGTACATTAGAGATGCCGCAAATATTGACTGGTTTTGGAACTAGGGGAGCTCATTTCTGGCCTTCTAGAGCCTATGGGCTTCGGTGAAGAGATAGCATCCCATGCTGGTGATGATACCTGCGTTAAGTTCATAAAAGAGCACGTAGAAAACTGCATCAGAGAGCATAATTGCGGAGGGAATGGCGGACATTCGGCATTGCCATTGCTCCCTGATCGCATCATCTGGATCCAAGGAGGAAACATAAGGAACATTCGGCTTGTTGAGCCAAAGAATACCCGTGCTAATTACCTTGCTCTAAGCTACTGCTGGGGCTCGGTAACCGCAGATACATACCTCACGGACCAGTTTACAGTACGCTCGAGGAAGACTGCTATAGACTATAATGCTCTGCCGCCTCTACTCCAAGATGTGGTTCGAATTGCCTGTCTCCTTGGTATTGAGTATATTTGGGTAGATCGATTGTGTATTATCCAAGGCGACAACAGCGACTTCAAGAAGCAGGCTCCCAAGATGGGTGATATATACGGCAATGCTACCTTAACAATTGCTGCGGCCTCTGCCAGCTCTGAGAACGACCGTATACTGGTTGAACGGGATGCTAAATGGAAATCTTCTGGCATAAGCCTTACCCTGGAAGGACTCGGCACTTTGAACTTGAAAATCCGGCGACGATCACATAAATTAGGTACAGAGGATCAGGGTGGTGATTATGGAAGGGTGTCTACGCGGGCTTGGATCTGGCAGGAGAGACTCCTATCTGCGCGAACCGTGTTTTTTACCTCCCATGCCCTAAAGTTTGAGTGTCACTGCCACTCTATCTGGGAAGGCTTTGATCAAGGTATATCCGGTAATTCTTGGTCCAGCAACCTAGAGAAGGTATCCATTGATTCGTGGCTGGAACTAGTGGATGAATTCATGCGTAGGGACATAACATACGCTTCTGATCGGCTCCCAGCTATCGCAGCGGTTATGAATCGCATTGAGAAGCGCAAAGGCTGGACGGCTTTTTGGGGTTTATGGAAACACGCCATTGTCGAAAGCCTGGGTTGGAAGGTAGATGATTGTGGTATAGAGGGAAGGCATCTTTGTGAAGTGAACCCGAGCACCTACGCGCCAAGTTGGAGTTGGCTTAGCATAAATGGCCCTATATCCCACGGCAACCTCTCGGTCTCTAATAAAGTTTCTCAGGAGGTATTAAAACCTTGGGTATATGAGCTAGAATGCCACGGGCTTAACGATGCAACGGGATCAATCACAGTTGATGGCCGTTTTGTTACCGGCTGGGTCGAAGCTACGGTAAAGATAGATAAGAAGGACAAAAGCACACCGGCTGAACCCGACAGATTCAGCTATCAATATAGAGCGGTGTTCACTGCTGACTATGTCGAAACCGTAGTAAATGCAGATGTGGCACTTATGCCTCGGGGAGACGAGCCTTGGGGCATGTGCAGGCCAGCTGTGCGTGTACCGGTCGGAGAAGTGCCTCCAACGCGATCTTGGACCCGCTACTGCATTTACCTTGTGGTTGCCACGAGAGAACCATTCGCTATCGCACTGCTCCTGGGGCCCTCCTTACGGAGTTCTAAGCTGTACGAGCGGATCGGGATAGCTTATGCCGTTAGATGTAATATGTTTGAAGGAGCCAAAAAGGGCCGCTTTGAAATCATCTAGCGGTCTTATTAGATTTAGGGGTATATGGCTCACAATTTTCTCAGAAAGTCAGAAGAAATATCATTTTGCAAATCCTACTAGCATGCGCATCGATATAATGGTATGGACTGAGATCCTTTTAAAATTGCCACCCTGAGAAACTAACTATAGAACTAGTTAATCAACCATAATTAAGCTTAAATGGCGGCACCTAAATTTAGAGTAATCTTATCAATCAGATAAGAATATGAGGTTTCGCAGAGGCTAAAGTGTTAATTAGGCCAATTCAATTTGTTATTTTGTATTATATTGACATTCAATAATTAATAATTAACAGCTGCATTGTCCATATCCACCCATCTATTAAAAAAACGCCATCCAAACACGTGGTATCGACGTGGTCAGAAGCAGCTGCGCCCGGAAAACTATATCGAATCTATCCACGGTCAGCTCATTAGTTCTAAAATAAATAGAAAGGTAACGAATCATGACAGAAGGGTATCGATAAATTTCAAAATCGCCTGTCATACTCTACGCGGTACAACCATGCGCAGCATGACTTCAAACAGCCTTATTTCGACTACTCTTCGCTTCTTTCTCCATCTGCAGCCTTTCTTTCCTCGCTCGTTCCTGAGCATCAAGTCCGGTCTTGGTAACTTCGTGTTCCTTGTTGAGCCTCTTTTTCTGTAGAAGCAAACTAACTATAAAACCGATAGCAGCGAGGGCGGTATAGAATATCCACATGGTGCTCAAACTTTTGGTATAGGCGTCGAGAACTGGTTGCTTTTCGTTTGGCGGGAGAGCCTGGATGATATGCACCGAAGCGCCAGCAGAGACTCCTTGCAATGCATCCAATGTCTTGGGGCTGAGGAGGTGTTGGATCTCTAGAATGTTACTTTGGAGTCTGTTCTGGATAATGACACCTCCGATGACAACGGAGATACTGCTAGCAAGATTCCTGCAGAAGGCTATGGAAGCTGTGGCAGTTGCTATGTCACTGGGCCTTATATGGCTCTGAAGAGCGATGATGGGGGCCTGGAAGTTAGGTCCAATACCCATTCCCGCCACTAGTTGGTAGAGGATAACTTTGACCAACGATCTGTGTGATGGGAGATTGATATAGAGTCCTGTTCCGAGAACTAGAACGGTTGTTCCAAACCAAATTGGTGGAAGGCAAAGACCGGTCTTGCGAATGAAGATACCGGTGACCGCAGAGACGATAGAAACTGCTATAACGTTTGGAAAGAGGAGTATTCCCGACTTTAGCGGTGTCTCTCCAAGGACGGCTTGAAAGTAGAGTGGAAGGAAGAAGCTTCCGCTAGTATAAATGGCTCCATGTATGAGGACCGTTCCATATGCCGCGAGTGTGGATCGCTGGGTAAAGAGCCACAGCGGCATGACTGGATAACGCGAAACCTTCCACTGAATAAGAATAAAGATGCCCCATGTCACTATTCCGAAAACAATCAAGCATATGACTGTTGGGGAAGACCAGGGGTAAGATTCGCCACCATACTCAAGGCCGATGAGGAACATCACCGTACCGCCGACGACAGCGAGAGAACCGAGCCAGTCAATGGCACGGAGTCCGGCTAGCAATGGGGTGGTAGGAGTATGGAGCTCCAGGAAGAAGAATATAATCAGAAAAGCAACTCCGTCAATGGGAACTATTTCTACCGTTAAGAGCCATCATGGACAACAACCAGGGAGAGCACAACTTACGGTTTATATAAAAACACCAACGCCAGGTGGTGTACTGGGTCATAAGGCCACCGATGACAGGCCCAATGATGCCTGATATAGCCCATACCATGCCGATGATACCAAAGTACATGCTTCGAGTTCTGTTTTACGAGGTTAGCCTGCCAAAACCAGCCATTTCCAAAGGCCAGGGAAGATGGGAACGAACCTCATGCTGAACAAGTCGCTCACACAGATATTCACGAGAGTAAGAAGGCCTCCGCTTCCTATTCCTTGAATCACACGGCTGGCTACCAACATCTTGATATTGATACTCACGCCGCATAGGAGCGAGCCGATCAAGAAGACGACGTTGGCGGCCAGCAAGACAGGCTTCCGGCCGAAGATATCGCTGACTTTCCCCCATGATGGAGTCGATGCTAGGAAACAAGTCAATACAAGAACCACTGCCCAGGAGGGTAACAGTAACATACAGGCAGCGCCGAGCAAATATGCAGAGCCAACCCAGGCATAGTCCGCCTGTGATGTGTTAAACTCTCTGGCGATGGTTGGCAGCGCCGTAGTAACGATCGTCTATGGCGTTTCGCATTAGCCTATCAGTCCACGAAGGATGAAAATCAAGACGAAAGGAAGAAGAAAAGAAGACGAAGAAGACTTACTATGTCGAGAGCCGCAAGAAACGTGGCCAACTATATAATAGATAGTCCGATGAGCATGAGTGGACGGCTTGCAATATAAATAAACCAGGGAAACAGAGTGCAACTCACGCAGAGAGCAAGCATGATGAGAGCGACTTTACCCTTCGACATCTTGACCTCGCTGGAGCCAGCTGGTGCCCCTGGAGCCTCTTGTGCTTCTGGGCCATGATCATCTCGACTGTCTTCTTTCTCTTGATATCGATCTTGAAGCACTTCTTCTTGCTTCTCGTCTGCCTCTGCTGGCCCAGATGTTTCTACCGCCTCCTTCGCACCGCCAGCAAGCATCTTCGGCGCCTCCATCTTGGCCGAGCAATCTGTGCTCCCTTCGAGAGAGGACGACGAGCTCTTGATCTCTGTGGCTGCTTCATCCTGCCCGCCTGTCACCGTCGCCGTCGACTCCATCAAGCCTGCCATGAGGGAAAGACGCTCTGCTTCGTCTGGCCGCCGCCGCTGGATGGCTTGAATAGTTAAAGGGGAAAAATAAAGAAGCAGAAACCAGCAGAGCGGTTGAAGCGGGTTTTATATGTACAAAGAAATATAGAAAAATAGCTCAGAGACGAATCATACTGTCATATATTCGCTGTCTCCCACTCGGTTTTCTCTTTTATATATATATGGTTAACCGTATACGAGAAATTGCTCTGGATCTCCCTCGTTAACTCACCCAACGGCCAAAGAGCTAACTAACCTGCATATTTTTGCCTTTACTGATGCCGATAAATCCGATCCATGGAGCAGAATGGACAAACCAAGCCCGAGCCCGAGGCCCAAGGTTGTCACGGCCAGTCTTGCCTGGCATGGCTTGAAGATAGTCGCACCGCCAGGACGAGGGCCCTGATGCCCCATATTATTGGAGCGGCCCGCCGCCCCCAGACTGGCCAGCAGTTAGCTAGCTAGTTACCTACATATGAGATGTGGAATATGACTCCTAAAATATGTACGGAGCAAAGGGAGAAAAAAAGAAAGACGGATTCCAGCTCGGACATAAGTTACGGCGAGACCCCCCTTAGTGCGACATTTCGGCCTGTCTACGCCCGTATCCAATCGAACTAACTTGAGCTGCCAGGCATACTCTTGTATAAAATGGGCAACTATATGTGGAGATCGATCGCCCGTAAGCAACGAACGTACGACCGGAGCCGAGTTCTTCTGCCTATAGCAAAGGGTCTCTATAACATGGCCAGACTGTGAAACATCATCCAATTCTATTCCTTTCTTTTTTTTTTTTTTGCACGTCTTGCCTTCTCCTTAAACCACCTGGCCTCAGGGCCGCTGGGGAGTAGAGGCATGTAACTAAATATAACTATTCAGTTAGTTATATAAAAAAAGGGTTGGGTGGGAGAAAGCTGTATCCTCTCTTCGCCTGTGTCTTCCTTCTTTACAGTTCCATCCCACACACCGTCACCGTCACTATCATCAACCGACCAACCAGCCAACCAGCCAACCTCATGTTTCGACCCAATTCCCATTTCCACACCTTCACCAGAACACCAATGTCTGCAAGATACGAACGAGGCAGATCCAGAGAGATTCATGAGATAAAACAGAAAAGGAAAAAAATAAAAAGGGGGGGACGAGAATAAGTGGTAGGTAGGGAGATAGGTAGGTAGGTTGGTAGATAGATAAAGGCGAGGTAACATAGAATGAACAAGAAAGGCCATCATACCACCCTCTTTGACTTCGATTACAAAAAAAAAAACAGACAGACCAGCTAGCCAGCTATGAGGATAGTTGGCAAGGAGAAGGACAAGGCAAAAAAGTGAAGAAAAGGGAGAAAAAAAGGAGTAATGAAGACAAGGCGATGAAATAGAGAGCAAGAGAAGTAAAACAAGGTACAGCAATATCACCACGCCGTGTTAAGAAAAGGAGAAAGAAGCAAACAATGGACAATGGTTTCCAAGAGCAGAGACCCGAGGAAGCGAGGAATGCGTGACTAAGAGACGTGAATAGGAAAGAAAGCAGGGGAGAATACAGCAGATGCAAGAGGAACAAGGGGACAAGAGCTGAGTTGAAGGTCAGGGCGAGTACAGAGAAAGAGGAAGCGGAAGCGGACGGGCGAGATATGGGACGAAAGGGGGAGGGACCAGGGGAAGAACAGTGAAACTCGCGGCAGAGATTCCGAAATAAGAGTAAGATGACGATATGATGATGATGAACATGGGAAGCAAGAAAAAAGGGGGAGAAGAACAATAAGAGAGACGAGGAAATAGAAAGGACCAAACGACTTAAGCACCCTAGCTCCATCCGTTGAAAAGATATAGCTTTGCACAACCTTTCCCTCACCCCCCCCCAAAAAAAAAGAAACAGGAAGAAAAGAATATAAAAAAAAGACGAAGAAAACATTCACGCTGTGCCTCCTCTTACTCTCTTGTTTAACTCGATGCCAACCAACACTATCCGCGAGCTCGATCCTTATCACGATCTCGTTGCGGGCCAAAGTCGACCTCAACTACCTTCCCTTTCTTGTTCTTGACCGAAAACTCTGCCATCAACGCCAGATGGTCGCTTGGGAAATGGTAGTTGGGGAAGCCAGGGACACGCTGCAGGTATTCCTTGTCCACTTCTCCGAGCAGTCCGGTGACTTGCAGCAGATTGGAGGAGTACCAGATGTAATCGATGACATCGGTGAAGCCTGGCGTGTAGTTGGTGAAGGAGAGCTCGCCTATGGCAGAGTAGGCTGACTTGAGGGTGAAGGGATGTGTCATGCCTTGGCGCGTGAGGTTGCCATATAGACGATCTCGGAGGTCAGGATGTTCTTCCTCTAGGCGGCCGTGGGCGAGAAGGTTGTAGACCGCGGAGGATGGGCGGGAGTTAAAGTCGCCGCATACCAAGATCGGAATTTGAGATGGGCTGCTGTACTCGACGGACGGAGACGGCTCAACAGGCGTGGGCGGGCTGGTGTTTTCGCTGTTGTTCGTCTCGTCCTCTGGCTCGGAGAAGCGGAATGCTGTCTTGTCTGTGCATGGAGGTATTTTGATGAACTTCTCGGCAAGCTGCGTGACTTCTTCCATCATGATGGCTGATTGAACGAGCTTGACATCTTTGTACGCAGGATCCCAGTAGATGTGCGCGTTGACTACAATGATACGCTCTCCGGACATGCGGTTCTCGAGATAGACGACAACGGCAATGTTGTCCTTTTGCCACAACCTGTTATAGATGTCGTCCTGGCCCTTGGCGTCGGGTCGTCGTACTGCGGTTTGGCCGAAGTGAATCATCGCCTTCTCGAGGAGGATGTACTTGCTTCCCTTGAAGAAAGTGGCGCAACCATCGACGACCTTGGCTTCTTCTTCGCTCATACCTTGGGCGCGACCCTTTGGCCAGTATACGCCCTTGTAATCGTTGTACGCCAGCTGTTCCCTGAAGAAACCATGGTAGCTGCCTTGGTCGACTTCCTGCAGGCAGACAATGTCGGCGTCCTGGCCTCTGATTTCGCTGAGAAGAAGGTCACGACGGAGCTCCCAGGCGAGTGCTTTGGATGGAGCATATCCGTACTGCTGGTGTGTAGCATATCGATCGCACAGAGTGTTGTACGTAAGCACAGTAAACTTGTCATGCGGGTTCTTCGACGAGCCGCGGCCGCTTTCGTCCAAAACAATCCAGTCTCGGTCAGACGGAGGCATTGGCACTACCCATGCTATTAGTAAAACAGTGACATATCATTTTCATGTTTTAAAAAAGGCGTTAATCGAAAGGGGAAAAAGGATTAAGAGTATCCCACCTGGCGTCTCTTCCTTGAGGTACTTGATAAGTGCCTTTGTTCCCTCCTGCATGATGCGCGACTTGAGCACATCGTTTAACGGGTTCCCCTCGACGCCGAGGGTTTCAAGTTCGCAGAGATAGCCCATCTCGAACGGAAGAGTTTGTAGATTGTTGTCGAAAAGAAGAAGCCTCTTCAGGTTAGTTAACATGCCAATCTCTTCTGGGATCTCCGTAAGCTCGTTGCTAGACACGTCCAGGTGGGTGAGGTTCTTGAGCTGGCCGATCTTGCGAGGAAGAGTTTTGAGCTTGTTGTGGTTGAGGTAGAGCTTGTCGAGGAAGGCATAGTGGAAGAGGCCATCGGAGAGAGCGCGAAGACCCTGGCCACCAAAGTCAATGGCCATCCAGTCCTGGCGGCGGGTTTCCTTTACGGCCACAGCGCGATTACGGTCCTCGGTGCCGTTTTCATTGGAATCGTTTTGATGGGAGGATAGCTGGATACCCTTGGTCTGCTGGGCGACGGATCTGGCATAGTAGTGGGGGGAATTGGCCTGTCTGGATTCGGCGGCAAGCTGTAGCTGCTGCTGCCAGTGCTCGTTCATGGGCTCGTCAATCTCGTCTTCGAGGTTAGCGGAGGAGCCGTTTTGCAGGTGGGAGGGGGTAAAATGCTGAGCAGCGGCGTTGGAGAGAGCACCGGCGGAGTAGCTGTGTTGCTGGTGCGAGAGAACCGGGTTTGATTGCGAGTGAGGGGCGTGGTGTTGTTGCTGCTGCTGTTGTTGCTGCTGTTGTTGTTGCTGCTGCGTCTGCTGTTGGGGATGTTGCGGGTGCTGGCCGGGATGCTGAAACTTTTGCATGGGCATGTCAAACCGCTGGTGACCCTGAGCACCGTTGAGCATGACCGGCTGCCCCTGGTGGCCCTGGGAGTACATGGTGAACGAGTTGATGGCGGGAGACTGGTTGATTGGCGGCGAGCGCGACGGCGAGGGCGTGTCCGGGTTGAACTTTAGCCTACCGGTGGGTGAGCTGGTCCCGTTTCGTAGAAGGTGGCGTTGGTGAGCTTGGTGGTGCTGCGAGGGCTGCTGTTGATGCTGTTGGGACTGTTGTTGTTGTTGCTGGGTCTGCTGCTGCTGCTGTTGTTGCTGTTGAGATTGGTTCTGGAAGTAAAACTGCCCGGCCCCAGGCTGGAACCGGTAGGGACCATCTGCCATTTAACGAGGCAGATGAGACCGAGGATGTGTGCTGGCGGGCGGTGGAGGGGGTAGCTGGCGTAGCTGGCGTAGCAGCAGCAGGTGTCCGGACAGAGAGACGGGCGGCGTGGCGGGAGTTCGAGCTTGCGGTCTTCGTCTCTTCAACATGAGGGCCCAGCGAGCGGAACCTCCACTGGCAGGGAAGAAGGGAAGCTTGCGGCCAACCGTCAGAAAGGACCGCCCTTCTTCTACAACGCTCGTCTGTTCAGGTCCTTCTGCCTCTTTCTGGCGTCTGTCTGTCTGTCTGTCTGCACCGAGGGCCAGTCCGGAGGCACAGCCGCAGCAAGGGGAGTCTCGAGCAGGTTGGCTGGGACGGGGACGGGCTTGGTCAGAAGGACGAGCAGCAGCGGGATGGGGGCCAGGGGAGGGAGTCCGGCAGCGCTTACATCTGTCAGTCAGTCAGTCAGTGGTGTTTCTTCCGGCGCCTGTCGATGCGAGTCTCTTTTGTCTTCGTCTTCTTCGTCTTTATTCTTCTTCTTCTTCTTTCTTCTTCGTCGTCGTCGTCGTCGTTTCGTTTCTTTTTGCTTGTTTTTTTGCCTTGAAAAGTCGAAGGTGGGAGTCGGTCACGTGGAGTCACCTGACATGACGCTGAAGAAGCTAAAAAAAAAGGCAAAAAAGACAAAAAAGACGAAGAAAGGGATATAAAAAGGTATAAAAGGATAAAAAAGATGAAAAAAGATGAAAAAAAGATACATGGAAGGAGAGGAAGTGATGGCCAGAGAATGCAGGCTATATACACAAAGAGCAGTGAATGCATGGGAGGCGGCGGTGGACAGTGATGGAAGGACTCCCTTGGTGGCGCAGTCAGCCTGCTCTTCCATCTAGTTAGTTAAAGGTAACTACCAGCTGCTGCCTGGAAGAAAAGACGAAGAAGACGTAGAAGTCATGGAAGCAGACATGGAAGGCCTCGAAGCAGGCCTGGAAGACTCGAAGGCAGGGAGGGAGATCTCAGCCTGGGACTCTCTGCTGGCCGGTGGAAGGACATGGCCATGGCAGCCAGCAGGGGACACCCTCTATAGATGGCTCTTCTTCTTCTCCTACTACTATTCTTCTACTACTATTCTCTCTCTCCTTCTTCCACTGCTACTACTTCTACTTCTACTTCTACTTCGTATCTACAGAGTGCTAGACCTGCTGTGATACAAAGACCAATTCAAAGGCCAATGCGAGACAGCTCAGGATGGCCGCTACTAGTGACCGTCGACGGTTGACTAGGCCGCCCACGCCTCGAAAGCGAGTTCTGCGACTGGTAAACAGACAGCTGGAGAACGGCAGCAGGCGGTAAATAGGCTAGCTGATCGGTGGTCCGTTATATAACTTGACGAAGATGCGAACGAATATCAGGACCGCCAAAGGGGGGTGAAGCTCCTGGCCCGTCCCAGCTCCATAAAGCAATATAAATACTCTATCCAGTCCGTATTTTCATACTCCGTACTCTTCGCCTCTCTCCCTATCGGTCCCTGTCTATCTCTGCCTGTATCTCTGTTCTCCCAGGCCTCGTCTCACCTGCGTCTCTCCCTCGATATCAACCCCTGACGCCGGCTATTACATACAGAATACTCTCTACCTGCTGCCTCCAAGGAGCGAGCAAACAGCCGGCCCAACCCTCCCAGGCTGGGGGACCGAGAGATACGAAGCAGCAGCAGACCGACAGACAAGGCCATCAGAGTCTCCCTGCAGGCGTTACTTATCTTGCCCTTCTTCACCCCCTTTTTTTCGCCCCCAGGGCAAGGGTAGTTTGACTTGGTAACTCTAAGCAAAAAAAAATAAAAAAAATAAAATAAAAAATAAAATAAAAACTTCGCACTAGGGATGGCCGTTCCCCCAGCGGGAGGCGGCTCGAACACCAGCGGCGGCGGCAACACCACGACGACGACGACGACGACGACCACAGCGACCACCACCACCACCACCGGCAGCAGCAATAACAATAATAACAACAACAACAACTCGACCTACAACTACAGCAGCAGCGAGGTCCGGCACTACAACTACAACCACCACTACCAGTACACTCCGCCCACTCTCGTCTCGGCCGTCGACTTCAAACATGTCTTCCTCCCTCACGCACCTATGATGTCGATTCCAGCCCTAGATCCGCTTCCTGCTGGCGGCGGCTCGCCCTCGTCTGCCTCCCTCAACAACACAGACTACACCACATACCCGCTCGGCAAGCAGAATGGACGGACCTATCTGCGCGACCCGGAGAGCACCTATCCGCTGCCCTGCGACGTGCCCGAGATCCACCGGCAGTCCCTCCACTCCCTCATCGTCATGACCGTCTGGGGAGGGCCCTTCTGCTCCCCGACCACCGCAGACAACCCGCCCAAGAAGGTCCTCGAGCTCGGCTGTGGCTCTGGCCTGTGGACGAGTGCCTGCCACGAGTACTTTGCCAACCGCGGACAGACAGACATCTCCTTTACCGGTCTCGATATCATCAGTCTGGCGCCGGACCTGCAGCACAAGCAGGGCGTGGACTGGCAGTTCAAGAAGCACGATCTACGGAAAAATACCCTACCTTTTGCAGACGAGAGCTTCGACTTTGTCTTCATCAAGGATGTCTCGCTCTGCGGGCCCATGTCGGATCTCAAGGCGGACGGGACGCTGTCGGAGCCGTTGCGGGTGCTCAAGTCGGGCGGCGTGCTCGAGATCTGGGACTCAGACATGGTCTACAGGACCCTGCTGCCTAACCCGCCCGTGGCCCCGGGCAAGCTGTCCGAGGAGTACCAGGAACAGGCTGAGATTACCGGTACATACACCATCTCGTCCGCTACCCCTTTCACCAACGCCCAGAACAAATACCTCAACGACTACAACACCTGGATACAAAAGGCCTTTGAAGCCCGCAAGCTCAATACCATGCCCTGCGCCACTATCGGGCTCGCCTTCTCGTCCGAGGCTGAGTCGTTTCAGAGCTCTGGCAGCAGGCGTGTTGCCATCCCGCTCGGCGAGGTCAAATGGGAGCAGAAGCAGAACGGCAAGCCCCTGACGGCCGACCAGATGGCCCTGCGCCAGACAACCCTGCTCACCGTCGTCCAGCTGATCGAGAGCATGGAGCCCTTGCTCATGGAGGCCAGCGGCAAGGGCCAGGCCGAATGGGATCGCTGGTGGACTGGCATGACTACCGACCTGATGCAGAAGGGAGGCGTCGCAAGTGGCGAATGTCTGGAAATCGGCGCCTGGTGGGGACGAAAGAAGTAACTTGCTCTTCTTCTTCTTCTTCTTCTTCCTCCTCCTCTCTTTCTGTCTTTCTGTCTTTCTTCTCCGTCTTCTCACCTCCCACCCAGATCAAATTAAACCATTACGCCCAAAAAAAGACTACCACCCTATACACGCCGTCGGCTTCAGTTCCGACCCTTCAATTTCGACTTCAACTTCACCGCTCAGTTGCTTGTTGTCTGGTAACGCTTCTTCAGCGTCCGATACCGTTTCAGGTAATATCTGCATATCACACATTAGCACGGCGGCACTTCTTACTTGCTTTGTTGTCTTGTTTGTTTTTTACTATCACCAGCTCAAAGGGAGGGTTCTGTGAACGGAAACGGAAATGGGGATATCTGGAACGACCAAAAAAAAATATGCTGAGGTTCAAACGGGGTGTATATCACAATAGACGTCAGGAGTGGTTTTTTCCCCCCTCTTGTTTTGTTTCCTTTTCTTGCTCGGGTGGATAGGAGTATATAGGCAAGGCGGGAGGTTGCATTGTATTTATGTATGGATGTCTGACGACCCTGGGACTATACGCGGAGTATATAATTTGCTTGAATAAATTCAACTTACAAGGCTTCGACTTCTATTATAATGTCAGAAGAAACGCATGAAAAAGTGACCCGGAAATAGCACAAGATCGTACACACACCTTTCTTCACAAACTCAGCTCTCTCTATGCCCTTTTTGATTTCGGCTTCGTCGGTGATGTGCGCCTGGCTGGCAAAGGCCCGGTGCAGCCGGTCTCGGAAATATGCGTATCCAAGAGGATAATCTCGACCCAGGAAGAGGAGTTCTGCTCCAGCAACATCACATTAGCCTGTCTCCTTCTCCCCGCAGACCATTCCTTATGCCGGCTGGTCACCTTTATAGACCTTCACCACCTGGTGTCTTAACGAGCTCATCCTGTCCCAGCAGCCCAAGTGGGTTATCTAGAGAGATGCCCTGCTGCAAAAGACTGACGTTGAAGTAAGCCTGCTGCTAGCGTCCGACCTGCATAAGCCTGCTACCGCTGCCCTGGCGTCCTAAGCTGATCCTTCGTCTCCTCGTCCGGTGTCCTTGTCTCTTCTCTTTCTTTGTCCGGTCTCCATCCTCCGTCCTCCTCGTCGTCCTCTTCCTTCGCCGTCAACAAATCCCCAAACGCCCGCGCCAAGTCACGTGCCGCTTAGTTAGCTTTGACCCCCAAACTCCGGGCCATAAAGCCGAGGGCCGGCAAAACCAAGCACCTACTTGCCCACAAGAAAGACACAAACAGGAGAGAGAGAAAGCGAGCGATTGATAGCTTCTAGCAGTCTCCAGGGAGCGTAGGAGCAAAGTACCAGACATGTCTTCATCGATGAACCTGGCGAGGAAGTCGCTTCTCGCTCGCAGCGCTCCCAGCTCGCCATTGGTCAGCAGCATACCCAGCTTGTCTTCTCCAGGCCGATGCTCTATCCCTGCTCTATCTCGAGCCTCTCATTCCCATACAGCCCATAGGCCAGCATCCAAATCTAATAATACCCAGCTTGATCCGCGATGGCTTTCAAACATAAAAAGGCGTATTGGGAAATGCATTGCTTTTGGTATGAAGCAGGATCTAGTGCCGGCTGCCGGAGGGGTGCTGGAGGAGATAGCACGGAACTGGAGGGAGCTAGTCGCGGGCAGCGAGGGATTCTTGACCGGTGAGAAGTACTGTGGTCTTCACAGGCATAATGTCGTCTGGGGCGAGATGGTGAGTTCCACTGCATTATCTTCTACTTTCTTTGTTTTTTACCCCCCTTCTCCTTTTCACGTAACTATCGGTTGAGTATGGATGGTTTGTACTGATTTACGGTTACCTTTCTAGGATTCCATGGTAAGATACCCGCTTTCCCTTGATTATATGATATAGCCGTTCCAGCAGCCTTGGATCATCTGCTCTTAATTTGTATTATGAATGATCTTCTAATCAGTGTGCTGCTATATTCGCTTTTCCGGAAATAGGGTATGCATCATATACTAACTCGTTCACTATCATCCCCATAAAGGGAGCAAACTAACGTACGAAATAGGCCATGTGAATAACGTCATGTATGTCCGCTATGCAGAGACAGGCCGTGTAAATTGGTCCCGCAACATAGCGCTCCACCACGACCCCGAAAACAGCAAGGAATGGTCGCAGCTCATGGGCTCCACGAGCATAGGCTACATATTAAAGAGCATCAAGGTGGACTTTAAATTCGTGCGTATACCCATTTAACACATCTACCAATGTACAAACGAAGTTAAAAAACCACCAACTAACCTACACCTGTAACATTCAGCCCATGATGTTCCCAGACCAAATCAGCGTCTATCACAAACTATCAAACGAACCACCGGCACCGAATGATCCGAATCCAAGCCACTTCTCCAACCTCCATCTTGACGTGCTGATCATGTCTGAAGCCAAGCAGCGTCCTGCTGCTCGATGTGAGGAAGACGTAGTGTTATACGATTACAAGATTGCAAAGAAATTGAACATCTTGCCTACATGGATGTTGGTGCAGTATCGGAAGCTTTGGGAGGCGCAAGAAGCTGCTAAGAAGGCGAATAGGGAGAAAGTCAGGGATATTGAAAGGAGGGTAAGGGAGTTAGAGGTTGGTAAATGGGATAGGGAGGGTGCTGTCGAGAGTATGGGTTCTGCTGCCAGCAGCTAGCCAGTATATTACATGATGTATATAAATAGACCCCTTTTGGTTGATGTTGATGGGCGGATCGATGTCTGATTTGATGCGTATATGATATCTAGAGAGAGCAAGATACGTGCTCCTTACAATGCACAGGTCCAAAGTATTAACTTATTTATTATATAATTGGTAACTGCTCTATAACCTCACCCTGTCTTGGAGCTACGTATGAAGCCTGGTTACCGTGGCCGTGAACCGGAGTATGAGGATGGGCATGAGACAGCGCAGCTGCAGGAATATGAACAGGAGCCGGAGCCAAAGCTGGAGAGGATGTAACTCCCGTCCCGTATGGCAGGAACTGTCGCATCCCATTAGGCGCGTACCGATACATCCCCATACTTCCACCTGCGGTGATGATAGCCCGATCATCTTCGATGATTGCAGCTCGCTCGATATACCATGGCGTAATCGGTACGCCATTCGGAGTAAGTATTTGCATATGAATTCGAAGGCTTTCGCGAACTTCGACTTCAATTTCGACTCCGTTGCTGGTTTCTGTTGCGAACTCTACCGGTATATTCTGCTCTACACCGGCGTAGGTGAGCGGGTTATAATTCAACCTATACAGATCGGATCTGAATATGTTTTGGATATTACCCGCCGGTTCACTTGCAATTTCAACATCAATGAAGAGGTTAGGATCACCACCGCATGCAGGAATCAGACGAAATCTCGCTGGAACCTGGTTGGAGCATTAATACTCTCATCTTATATCCATTCAAGATGAGAAGGGCTGGAAGCATACCTTAGGGACAAAAGCTCCAGGCAAGTAGCTGTTATAAATGGCTGATTGGGCCATTTGCATCTGAGCTTGTTGTTCACGTTCAGCTAGGTCCTGAGCATTGGTAGAGGAAACGATGCGTTCATGTTGGGCAGTTAGACGGTTAAGACGGCTCTGAAGACGTTCTCTCTTTTGTACGGCAGACGCGAGCTCTGCTTCAGAGGATGTAACGGCTTTCGCCATGTTGGATTTAGCGTCCTCAACCTCCTGTCTGAGTGTCTTCAGCTTTGACGTCTCCGCTTCGATAACAGCCTTTCGGGCGTTCCATTCCTCCAGCTCGGTACCGGCACCGGATAAATTTTCGAGTTTCTCAAGCTGAGCTTCAATCCCGGCGGTTGCATCTTCAGTTTGTCGAATGGTTCGTTCGAGCTGAAGGGAGCGTTGCCTTTGGCGGCTTTCGTCTCCACCACTCAATAACCTGTGGGTCAAGCCATCTAGCTCACGTTTGACTTTGGACAGATGAAGCTTGTGGTTGTTCCTTGAGCGTTTGAGACGGGAGCGGCGTTCGTTTAATTTAGCTTCAGCATTGACTATCGAGTTCTTGATAGTAGTTGATGGTGACGAAGGCCGTAGAGACTGCTGTGGGGATACGGCGACAGGAGGAGTAATGACTACAGCGCTTTGTTTAGCAGGGCAAGCTGAAAAGAGTGTGGGTTGTATGAAATAAGCGACTCACCTTGATCTGTGACGGGTGCTGACGGCGTCTTGACGCTCACAACACAGACTTCCTCGTTTGTATCAACACACACAAAGCTACAGGTATATGTGCAGTCCGGCGCTAATCCGGAAATCTCTCCTCTCCAGTGAGCAATCGGAGAATCCTTGGAGCTATCAGTCACCTTGGAAAGCGAAACGGGGGCCCAATGTGCGCCGTTGACAAGAACATAAAACGGCCCTGCAGCTCCATAAGCGGCGCCTTCAGCTACGGCGTCTTCACTGATATTAAAGTCATTCGCAGCAAATTCAATAGTTGAGGTATCAACACCAGTAATCCAAATAAATGCGTTGTCAGGAGACACGCCATCCAAGTCATCTTCCGAGGTAGGGGCATTAGGAGAGTACCAGTTACAATTCCGGGATCGTTCATATTCTCTAGTGACAGTAAATTTTGTGCTAGCCAAAGCGGCCCAAAAAGGTTGTATCCTTCTCGCCTCGTTGGCTTGACGACGTCGTTTTTTAGCAGTGGAGACGCGTTCCTTTGCATCTTTCAAACTAGAACTTGGCTGTGCAGGTTCAGATGAAATTCCAGATGATAGAGCGGTTGAAGGTTCAATAGAGGAGATATCAGGTAATGTAGGCGTTCCAGCAGCAGAAGTATCCGTGGCTGACCTTTCGCTACTTTTGGCGCGGGGAGAAGACCGATTCTTGGCCATTGATCGTCGAGCCATGGCAGTTCCAGCCTGAGCCAAAATATGTACTGCAAGGAGGCTTCCTATCCAGCTAGGAGGTGAGGAGCTATCTTGACGCCGAAACTCTGCGGGTATCAGGTACGAATACTTTGCAACTGTTTCAGGAGAAAGAAGCTTTGCTGAAAACAAGTGGCCAAGCAGGAAGGTCTGTATCCCTTCACTTCGTAAGAGGTGTACGATAAGCACCATGGAGACACAGAAGGTGTTGACACCTCCGGTGCCTCCCGAGCTTCCGGCACCCAAGGCAATGGCTACCTGAACATGAGCGAGATCAATAGCAAAGTTCTTTGCCCAATTCCACATAAACAAGCCCCATACAAGAAGACAAAACCCGTCCATTGCAATCATTGTACTTAGCGAGGGAGTTCCGGCAGGTCCTTGGAAGATGTCAAAATTCGAGGTCAGAGTCCCGGTAGAGACACCGGCGGGTAGCATGAACGTCATGGAAGCGTAGAGAAACTGGACCAGGGTCAAAACGATGGGAGGCAGCTGTAGCAGGAGAATGAGAATGGCGATTGTATCGGACGTGGGACAGGCCTTGAGGATCGTCGAAGCAAGGACTAACGGATTGACGCCTTTACGGGCGGAATGGGCCTTTTTCACAGTTGGAGCCATCCTATCCGCTCGACGGGAGAAATGTTCGTTGAGCCGGTCTCCAGCTACAATACAGGTTGCAGCTGAGTAGGTATGATGGCCATTCGGTGCCATGGCGACATCTCCTCCAACACTAGTGCTGCTAACCAAGGCGTGACCGTTGCTTCCATTAACCTGAGCACCTCCGCTTACACGCCCGCCTGTTTCTTTCTTGGTCACACCGCCCATACCACCATTCGAAGAACCATAGCTATTTTCCAGTTGGCCATCGAGGTTCTGCAGAGTCCTGGCGGAGGCGTAGGGGGAAGACGACGAGGCAGCGGTTACGGAGGGAGAAATAGAAGCTGCTGCTACTTCTGCTCTCGAAGCAGTAGCGGGAGGAGTCGTAGATGGAGTGGGAGGTGTATTGCTGGAGGCCTGGTGGAATCCGTTAGGAAGGCCATTCAGATGGCCATTAGATTTTTGTTTGGCGAGCTTCTTCCCTGGCAAGGCACGGCCTGACTCGCTGCGCTGTCCGTGGTGGTTCTTCCTAGCCATGGATTACCTATCCGCGGGCGCTAGGTGCTGTCGATGAGCCCAAATCCACCTTGGCGAGGGTTAGCCAGAGTGAAAAGGGCTGCGAGGCCACCTGCGGCCCAAGAGGCAGAGTCTGGATGTTACGATCGAGAGGGGGACCGGGGGGGAGGGTTAATTGGCAGATGGGCGTGCCTTAGAGAGCGGCGGCCATCCTTTAGCCAGAAAGGAGGGAGAAGAGCGAGCGGAGAGGAGCAGAGGAGAGGAGTCAGAGGCAGGCAAAAGTGAGGCCGGAAAAAAAGCAGTGAGTGAGTGAGCAAGTGAGTGAGAAAGGCTGGCCCAGCGCTCGTTTCGGATTTCACAAGATGCTTTTTTTCCCTTCAGACTTTCTCGGCGGCGCGCTTGCGGTGAAAAAAAGGTAAGCGCTGACTAAGGAGAAGCACCAATAGCGCGTGTTTATTTGCTGAGTCAGCACAGCCGCAGACCTTATTTTATCGACATCAAAACGACGTGCGATAAATAAGAAATAAAAACAAGGCGAGTGAGGCGAGATGAGAAGCGGCGGCGGCGGGAGGAGAGCGCCGTTGCTCTGTCCAAGGGGCCGAATTGGGGGGGACCAGTTGCTTTCACCCTGGCCCGTTGTCCCTCTGGCCGAGCTGACTCCTTTTTGCTGCAGTGTCAGAAGTAGGAGGATGACACACTTCCCGCTTCTTCCTTCAGCTTTTTGGCTAGGCAGAGGCGGATGCGCCGGGAGGCTCTTCTGCTACTTGACTCCTGCTCCTTACTCCTTCGCAGCGCCCCC